AACTCAAGCTAATTACCAACAAAAAAATAACAACCAAATATTTTAGTAATTTTATAGAATGAGAAAATATTTGAATGCTAAAAAAAATTCTCAGGTTGTAAACATTCAAAGCTAAACTGATCACCAATAACAAAAACAAGCAATACCAATTGCACCAAAAAAAAAAAATCAAAGCCAAGTAATTACCAATAAAAAAAAAAAGTGAAACCAATTGCACCAAAAATAAAAAAATCAAAGCCAAGTAATCACCAATAAAAAAAAAGTAAGTTAAACCAATTGCACCAAAAGAATAAAAAAAATTCAAAGTCAACCTAATCACCAATACAAAAAAAACAAATGATTGAGTTTTTAATTATGTTGTCAAATTGAGTTAAATGATGAGAATGGCGATAAATTCAGGCGTTTTATAAATGAGTAATTTAACAATTGTAAATTTTATTAGATTCCGTTAGTATTTTTTTTCCAATGCATTTGTATATGTGATGTTGTTTTGGAGAATTTTTTTTATACATTTTTGTGATAATTCTATTAATATGCAAGATATGGTCAACAATATATTTTGGGTCATTTTAAAAGAATTAGTATAAATGTTTTCAGGCCATTTTCTTTTTCAAGTTGGACAATTACTTATCATTTTTTATGCATTATATAGTGCCTTCAAGTACGGATAATGACTAGTACATATATAGAGAGAGTTTAAAGTTTGTGTTTAAAATGTGTGAGAGATAGGAGATAGATGTAAAAGGACTGAAAATTCAATTATGATCATATAAGTATAGACATAGATACATAAGTATGAATTTTTGCAAATGAAAATTCTTTTAATTGATCTTCATTTGACTTTATTTTTTCTATGAAAATTTGTCTTTTAATTTCTATTAGAGTATTGATTATAGTCTTTATTACGTGTCAATTGATTTTTAATTTTTTTACTATGTTTACCTCTTAAATTTTAGTGTAATCGTTTTACTATGCTAATATTTTAGTGATAATGTTTAGAACATCGTTTATTGAATAAATTTAATGGATAGTTAATGAATAACTGATATTTTTTTAATTATAAAAATGACAATTAACTTCACTTTTTTACAATGATGATAATTAGTCAATTTTTTATACATACACAATATATATTATTTTTTGTTTTTTTTTTTTTTGTGTTAAACGGATTTCATGTATCAAATATAATACAATAAATATAAATATATTATATAAAATGATTGGGTAGGAGAAAAAAATTAGAGTTTATAATTAAAATGTCCACCCAAAATAAAATTCTTGGCTTCGCTTCAGATGACATATATTAATGAACCTATAATTTGTTAGAGATAATCCTCGTTATTAAAATTTTAATGGGTTATTAGATGTATTTTGTTATTATTAAATATATATGATCGTTCAGGAGAAAGTTATATGAGAGATGAGAGAGTGCATATTTAAAACTATGAGAGATATGAGACAGAGAGAGAGAGAGTTGTATTAATTAGTATGAGATAGGGAGAAAGAGTTAGATGAGAGATAAGAATTTTGGAAAAATTTCGCATGAGAATCGTCGGATCAATAATCGTCAAGCGATTTGAGTTGCGAAAAGTTTAAGACAAACTTTTCTAGTTATGTTATTATATATATATATATGATAGAAAAATAATTTTAATGTTAGCACAATTCCTAAATTAAGAGTTGTTAATACTAATATAATTCTCAATTTAAGAGTTGTTAGTTTTTTCAAATAAGTTTTGATTAAATATAACTATTGAGAGTATTTTGGACAATAGAGATCAAAATGAACTTATTCCCAAATAACTTTCTACAAAAAAGGACCGGCTTCCAAAGGATCCATTAATAAATCCTCTTTAGATAGATTATAAAGGACTAGTCATTGTCCGTGTCTAAAAACACTATGTAATAAAAAAAATCACAAGTAATTGTCCAAATTAAAAAAAAATGACTCTAAAATATTCATATCAATTCTTCTTTTAAAATAACTTGCCCCATATTATTGGAATTATTATAAAAATAAACAAAAAACTCTCCAAAGTAACACCACATATACAATTACCTTAAAAAAAAATACTAACAGAATCAAATCAAATTTACAATCTTTAAACAATAAATAAAATTAATAAAATATTTCTCATTTATAAGAATCATGTATCCGTCGTCATTACCGTCATTCAATTCAATAACATAACATAATTATAAACTCAATTCATTCATGTAATAAATATCTCAAACAAAAAACTGCTCACAAATGCAATCATTTATATAATAAAAATAAGTTCACAAATTTTGTCAAAAAAATAAATTTTGCTATTTAAAATTTCACCAAATTCCAAAAGAATGAAATAAAATTTACAATCGTAAATTAAGAAATATAATAAAACTAACCTAAATCAAGATATAAACAACACAATTGTAACATATAATACTTAATTGTAACATATGATACTTAACAGAAATCAACTAATGTCAAAGCATCTACAACCAAATTAACACGAACATTAAACATTAAAACTAATAAACTCCTACCAAAGCATACACCACTAACATTTGGTGCAATTGGTTTCATGTACTTTTTTTATATTGATCGCTTGTTATTTTTTTTAGTGGTAATTGACTTGACTTCGATATTTTTTGGGTGCTTGTAGTAGTGATTTATTTTTGCTGAAGGTCTTATTTATGAATTGTATATTTATATTTTTGTTTGTGTAGAAGTGGTGATAGCGATTAGATTGATTTTGAATTTTTTTCTGTGACTATAATTAGTTTCAATTGTTTTGTTTTTATTAATCACTTGTTATTTTTTATTTTATTTTGTTTGCCTGGAAGAATGGGTAATTAGCTTGAATTTTATTTTTTTAGTGCATTTGGTATCACTTAATTTTTTTTTATTGGCGATTAGCTTGGGCTTTTGTTTTTTTTTTTTTAATTTTATTATTTTGAGAGCTATATATAAATGAAAGATAGGAATGTTAAAGTTAAGGAGAGAAGATAGGAATGTTAAAGTTAAGGAGAGAGAGTTGTTTCAATTAGTATGAGATAAAAAAAAAAGTTATAATATGGGATATGGAGATAGAGTTAGATGAGAGATACTAGTCTTAGAGTTAGGGAGTGAGAGCTGTATTAGTTAGTATGACATAGGGAAAAAGAGCTAGATGAGAGATAAGGGTTTTCAAAAATTTTAGCATGAGAACCGTCGGATCAATAATCATCAAACGATCTAAGCCACAAAAAAGTAAAGATAAAAAAATCTAACTACTTTATTATATAGATATTTATATATAGAATTAGACTATTCATTTCTCTCATATATAGTATCATTCAAACACAAAAAATAGTATTATTCAAATACAAAAAATAGTACCATTTAATAATAATATTCAAAAATAAAAAATAATAACATTGAGTATTAATATTTGAAAAAATAACAGTAATAATATGCTCAACAAACATAATAAAATGAACAGTAATATACCCAACAAAAACAGTGGTATGTTCACAAAAATAATAACATGAACAGTAACATGATATATATATATATATATATATATATATACACACATACACACACACAGAGGGGGAGAGAGAATATCAGTCATTCTTTGAATTTGAATTTCAAATTTATATAAAAAAATATTATTGGCATATCATCATTGATAGTGAATTAAGAGATAATAATTCCCAAATTATAAAATTAATTTAAAGTTACTTTTGAGGAAGAGTATTTTAGAGTTTTAAAAAAATAGTAAACTTAACTACTTATTAATAAAATTAAAAACGGACTTATCCCCAAAATAAATTTTTTTGATAGAGTAAACTCGTTATAAATCCATTAAGAATCCTTTAAGAAGACTGATCCCCAATTTTCAATTAGAGATTTAAGTGATCAAATACCTGGCCCAAGATGATGTGAAAACTAGCAAATAAATTCCTACAATGGCTTAGAGATGATCCATTGACCAATTGATTTGGGCAACTCTGCCTGCTTTATCTATGGAAGGTTGACTAGTCTGTAGGAAAGGCTCATAACAATCATGCAACAAGGAACCAACAACAATAATAGGATCGATCTGTGTAATATTACAGGTAAGAAGTTGAATTTCTAATTTTTAAAAGCACAATAATGATTAAGATTAATTTAATTTTAAATTCATCAAAAAAAAATTCTGCTCAAAAACATCATATTCTCTTTACGACCTACTAATGTCAGACAATTTAATCAATATATTTTTCAATGTTAAACAACTAGATTAATCCACACTTATTTTTCTCTTATTTTCTATCTGTTCACTCAATTTTAATTACATAATTAAAGAAAATAAAATTACTATTTAAAATATAAAATATACGATCAATGCTCAATTTTTAATATAACACGATGACTTCACTCACGAGTTATTGCTGGTATAAAGATATGTTGGGGAGCACTGAAAATGTAGTCTACATTTGTAGTTTTCCTTGTCTTGTGGTGGCTACAGCAACTATAAGAGTGCAACTTGGACGGGTTGAAGATTACCTTTTAGCCCAATCTTAGGAATAAAATCTTCAACCCTAACCCTAATCCAACCCTAATCCTACCCTGACCTCAATTCGAATCCTGTCCGAGTTGAATTCAGACAAGCTCAGGTTAAAATTGAGTTATCCAATTCGGACTAATTTTGGGTTAGAATATTCTCACCCCAAACTACATATATTAGTAAAACATCTCAATCAACTCGGATCTAAGTTTAGCTTTCATATTTCACATTCATAACACTAGAAAAAACAGTCCTAATTGGACAAGAAAGGAACTTTACAACAGACACAAGGGCAAAGGAGGTCATTCTATGTTCACAATAAGATACAGAAAGTATGAAAAACTAGTTTCCTATCACCCCTGTCATGGAATCAGCCTCCTACACTGCTCTACCAAGAGCTCCAAAATCTTTTACCTCTCAACCCAAAGAAAATCCTTGGGCCAAAATCATAAGTCCTTATTTCAAGTACATATACGAAAATGGCTAGTAGTATGTTAAAGGAAGGGGATTTGGACCACAAGAACTGGTAAAACATCTTGACATACCTAGAGTGGCCGGACGCATAACCACCTCATTTGGTCTAACAGGTGTAGATACACTGAACTTGGTACTAGAATCCTTTCTCTGCCAGTCTTGGTTATGTTCATTCTCCAGGTCTTGCAAAAGGGCCCGTGAATTAAAATACTCTTCCGATTGCAAGGAATTGTCTGAACTAGAAAAATGTGATTCTGGGTCAGCAAGATCGTCCAATTCCAAGTAGTCACCCCTTAAAATACAATCGAGTTCAGGCAACGTGAATATAGAAGGATCTCGAAGACTCTCAGCCACAGCTAATAATACCTCCTCATCATCCCTGTTCTTCACCTACACGACATTTAGCAGATCAGATAAACATATGCATACAACACATGCCAAATGAAGAACACCACCCCCAAAAAAAAGCACCATGAAAATAACATTACAAGGAAAAAAAAAAAAGAAACAAAGGCGACACACAAACACCTATAAGAAATGATAACATATCATAGCACTTTGAGTGCACCAAACCCCATCCCCAACCCCTTATCCTCACAAAAGAAAACACAAATACTTAAGGTTATTACCCTAGTGTTGGTCCACACAGAGTGGCTGAAAATGAAAGTCGACATTGACAAAAGAATAATGGGCCAGTTTCAAGTTTAAAGTATCCTCGTATGCATTGTTTAGCCAATATTTAAGATTTTTTGTGGTGTCCAACAGATTTCTATATGAACTAAATTTTCTCAAAACCATAGCAGTGTGACAACCTAAAATAACATAACAATAACTCTTTCCAGCAGAATTAGCGACCCAAATCACAAAGATAGCTGCTGCCCACATAATGTTGGTGCCCCATGGAATATAAGTTGGTGCCTCATAATGTCTTATGGCAAAATAAACTCTATATTTGGACAATAGAATAGAGAAGCAAGCAAGATCAGTTGGGCATTATCTGGTGGCAGCTAGTGTACATGGATATCAAAACAAAGTACTATAGAAGTGAAACTCCCATCACAGCAGCTACATCAAAAACACAGGGAAAAAGAAGTGCACCAAACAGCTCAACAAAGGTAACAGTGTGAGGTTGACCAACCTGGCATGTACTTGTAGAGGCTTGTACAGTGCTACAGTAGGCTTTGGAAATAGCTGACGGCATTGAACCAGAGTGCTTTCCACCATCAATAGCGGCACTACCATTTTCAGAGTGAATTTCTTGAGGTCCACCAGTACAAAAGACTCTGCATAGTGATTTTGAATCCTGCAAGTCCAACCAAACCGGCAATTGACTGGCAGGTCGGTGGAAGAAGGGAATAAAAATAATTGTCAGAAAATAAGCAGATTTTGCTAGCCGGTAGCATTCAATACCTCTAGCTTGCTGTTACAGCATAGTCTGTTCCGAGTGATCTCATACTCTTGCATCACCCAATCTGTTCTTTGTCCATGAGGGGCTAGGCCCTCAAAAAATTCCAGAGTAGTTCTCCAACCCGTTATGAGAGAGTTAGTGAATATTTCACATGCATCCCCTCTGCCCTTCCAGAAACCAAGTTCTGTTTCTTTCTTATCCTTTGAGGATACAATATACCATATTCCATCTGTACATAGCACATGCTTGTATTAGCTGTTCTAAAATTTACTCAAGTCGCCCAGAAATAATGCATTTCTTATACAACATACATCTGACAATGCATATAAAATGAAACTCTATTTTACAGTCCCCAAAATCCTCTTTGCCTTGTGTGTGTAAGTAGTTTGGTGGGAGAAGAGGAGAACATTTTGAAAAAGATATACTAAGTACTAACAGGAGGACGAAACCTAGCCAGGGGTGAGACTCAACCCACATCAACTGTGGGGTGAGATGAGAACCCAGCCACTGGGCCATTTCTAGGTTCCAAAAACAATCTAAATCATGTCATATTAAACATGGTTGAACAAAAGAGGTGTTGTCGCTTGCAGCTACAATGTAGTTCTCAATGTGAAATGCCATGGAATTTATGTGATGACCCGCATTGGCATGTGTTGCATCCCACATTGGAAGTTTATATGCGGAGAACCTTGGGTATACATGTAGGATCAATGGCCCCAAATGACAACTCCTTGACTAGCCTTTTTAGGCGAGTTCCCATGTTTACAACATATGGTATTACAGTTGGCCGTTAGCATAACTATGTGAGCTCGGTGCATTGTGGTGTAGGGTCAATGTTGACCGAGACTGACCATGAGCCGATTGTTGTATTTGTGATTGACTATGGGCTTCCGAAGAAAACAAAGGAGAGGACGACCAGCATTGTGACATGTGCTGAATTGAATCCCACATCAAAAGTTTACATGGGGAATGTTGGGCATATACGTAGGAACGACCCAAATAACAACTCATTGGCTAGTCCTTTTGGGTGATGTCTCATGGTTACTAGTACTACAATAACATACCTGAATCAAAACTATGACGACCAAGGCGAAAAGTATAAGAGGCAAATGATCAGAATGTTTCGCTCAAGAACTTTAAAATTATCAGCATCATGATGTTACGGGAAATGCTAAATGGATACTTAGGTAGAAACAGAACTAATTCATAGCTACATACAATCTTGGAAAATAAAATGCATTTTAAATATTCTAATTATAAACATCAATTCACATTTTCTTGGTTAACTATCCTTTCTATATTGGCGATTTACACTCTGGACCCTCTTCAATACCTTATTCAATATAAGCATGCTACGACCACGATGGTGAAATTCTACAATGTCACAAATAGAGACCAATGACATTACATGCACATTTGAGGTGAGGGACTGGACCAGTGGTCAGGGTTCACTACTGCTCGCAAGTGGTTGTGGGTTCAAACCTCCCCCTCCCCTCCAAACAAAATGACACTACAGACACACACCACACCAACAAAAGCAGTCATTACAATTTACAGATGAACAAGTAATTTTCACGAACACTGTATCTTATTTAATTATCATAACAGGTTTAGAAATAAAAAAGTTGATCTTACATGGTAAATTACACGCAAATACAGATAAAATGTGATATTCAATTGATACTAACCAGGTAAATTGGAGGGCAAATACTGGTAAGGATTAGCATCTGCAATGACGTTTCCAGGAAGAGGGTATCCACGTTCAAAATTTTCCAAATACATAAAGAGCTCCTCATCAGTCCAATAAGGACCAATCTCAGCAGGAGGAGGCACAGGTGCTAGAGGACACATGGCAGTTCAATTCAAATGGAGGGAAATAAAAACCTTTGCCAACACCCTGTCTCTTGATAGACAAAAGAAGAGCATCAGTTAAGCCATAACAACAAAAGAAAAGATGAAAATTGGTAGTCAAAGATCAAGCTCCACCCTATGAACAAATTAGCACAGACAGCAAAAACATAGAAGAAAACATAACTGAGACATAGCCCATTCATCCAAGCAGAAAATGATAATTGACATAAATCGTATGACTTTGGAGTTCATATAACATGACAGAATAGGGGATCGATTTTATCTGTCTTCAAACAACTCTCCCCCCCCCCCCAAAACAAAAAAAAAAAAAAA